CTGCTTCACCACACGGTGTCAGCAAAAGAGAGGAAACACAACCTGTGCATCCAAAATCAAGGACAAATGATTCCTCCTACTTTTAGTGGGATCAGGGCTAATTCTGCCTTGGAATGACAAAGAACTTCTCCCTCAGACCCCCTCAGACCCCTTGAAAAGAGAAAGGAAAGGAAAGGAAAGGAAAGGAAAGGAAAGGAAAGGAAAGGAAAGGAGAGGAAAGGAAAGGAAAGAGGAAAGGAAAGGAAAGAGGAAAGGAAGGGAGGGAGGAAAGGAAGGAAGGAAGGAAGGAAAGGAAGGAAGGAAGGAAAGGAGGGAGGGAGGGCACCTCTGCCTCACCTGCTGGGAACAGCACAGGGCCTGCTGCTCCTGGGCACTGGGAATGTGTCTGGCGCCAAAAGCACTTCCCAGGCTGGAGGAGCTTTCCTCAAGCACCACCTCTGGGAAGCCAAGGCCTGTGGAAGACATGGAGTGGGAATTTACAGAAACAATCATAATTATTATAAACAAAAAAAGAAATAGCAGCAATGGAAGCAACATTAACTCCAAGGGTGCAGGAGGGATGCTGAGCTTTAAGCAAGGTTTGAGTGAGGCAGCATCTCCTGGGCTTTCTGAAGCACAGCTCCAGGTCTGGGGTTACAGGAGCAGTGCAAACTCCCACTGCCCAATCCTGGATTTGCCTCCTGCCAGCACTCAGCACCTCGGGCACGTTTGGCTCAAGTGCTCCAGTGCTGCTGCCTCGAGGGACTGGGAAAGGGGTCATTAAACCCCTTCCCACAGGGCTGGCTCCGAGCTCTGGCTGGGGAAAGCATTTGGCACCTCTGGCCTTTCAGTGAAATCGGTTTCCATCATTTTGAAGAGAATAAACCCAGGGCACATAAATAAACCTTTCTCCATGAGGACAGCCCCAGGGAATACACAATTTTTCCTATGCCTGGCCAAACAAACCAGCAGGCAGCTTTTGGGGAGAGACTCCAGGCTCTTGTCTCTGGCTGTAAAACACCTGCAGAGGCTCTGGAGCTCATAGAAGCTTGTCAGGATTTGGCTATTTCATTTAAATTCCATTCATATACCAAGGAATTGGAAGTGTCCTAAAGGCATCTCCACTCACACTTTAAGCCCTCTACCACCGATGAATTTGGACGTTCTTTTGTTAGCAACACCCCATCTCTGCTTCTTTAGGGACTGCATGTGGGAGATAAAATAAATGTGGACGAAATTTGGAATGCAGCTTCCAAGTCAAGTTCCCTGCTAGGAAATGACTCCAGTTCTCTGCTACCTCAGGCTGTTTAAACACAGCCTGGCCCTTCAGGGCTGCAGACTGAGCTACACAACTTGAGAGCTGGCAAGTGACAGCAGTTGAGGTCTCATTCCAGCTGTACACAAAAACAGGGATTAGGGGCTGTATTTGGATACATGCAGGCAGGTTTGGGCCACTTCAGAAAGCTTCAATCCCTGTTTGACAGAGATTCCATCAGGGATAATGAGCTTTTCTCAAATACCTCCTAAGGCACATGAGATCCCGAGTAAGAAAATGGAATCAAATCCTTTGTTCCATTGCCTCACGCCCCAAATTCCAATGGGACAGACAGGTCCCTCTCTTTGGAAGGCAACGTCTCCTACCTGGACCTGTGCCTTCTCCAGCCTTTGGTGGCTGCTGTCTCCATCCTCCCACACCTCCTCATCCTCCTCCTCACCAGGGCTGGCTTCCTCATCCTGCAGAGCAAACACAGGGGCATCACCAGCCTGCTCATCCCAAACCTGGGCAGCAGGGATGGACTGGTGGGACCCTCTGGATGGTCACCCCTGTGCTTGGTACCATCCCTGCTCTGCGGCTCATTCCTGTTCCTGGCTTGGCATCTCCTTTTAATGGGATGTTAAACCACAAGTGTTTGCTCTGCTGGGTTTTGGGACATCAGAGACTCCCCCGAGGCACTGGGCAAAGCTCCTGTTCCCATGTCTGCCTCCGAAAGCCCTGCTGGGGCTGGACAGAGCAAAGGAAACGTCTCAGTTCCTGCTGGAAATTTCCTCCTGTGCCCATAAACCCACAGAAATCGTGGCTGCTCCATCCCTGGAAGTGTCCAAGGCCAGGTTGGATGGGACTTGGAGCACCCTGGGCTGTGGATGGAATGGCAGGGAATGGAATGAGGTGATCCTTAAGGTCCCTTCACACTCAAACCATTTTGGTGTTGGAGTATCCTCTCCTGGGAATGTCCAGAACACCAGAAGGGTCCCTGGAAGCCACAGGTCAGGGGCAGATTCAGATGAACAATCCTGAACCGGTTTTCAGGGGATGCATCCTCAGTCTGTGGCTGGCAAAGACTCCAAAGCTGTTCCTTCCCCTCGGGACAGCCAGGGAAAACATCCCCATCATAGATTTCTTACAGGAAAAACCTCACAGCTCCAGGATACTTGGCTCCTCCCAAATCCAGGCCAGCACTCCAACAGGCTCTAAGGAATAAACAACAGGAAAGACCATCTCAGGGTGCACACCACGAGCTGGGCACCACACTCCTCACTGGAACTGGGCTGTTCCTACATCTCTGTGACAGTTGGGAGTGTCCTCATTTCCTCACTCTTCCATTCAGGAGAAAGAGACAACAGAACCCTAAAACACTCAGTGTGTAATCCCAGCAATCCAGGGAAAACCACCTCAGTCAGGGGAGAAATGTAATGCCTGATTTTAGAAAAAAAACAAATAGCAGAACTGGAAACACTTCCAGGCATGGAGCCTCTCAGCTCTGGAAATACAATTCCCATGGCTTCTTCTCATGGAGATCCCAAACTTGCCCCTGACTGGGCTCAGGGAGAAAATCCCACCTCTTCCACCAGCCTGGCACAGAGCAAATTCCATGGACAGGCCAGGAAGGTGTCCCTGACCATGGCAGGGGGTGGGAGCGGGATGATCTGTAAGGTTCCTTCCAACCCACACCATTCCAGGAATTTAAGTCTCAGATCTGAGCCACTTCTCAGCTCACAGCTCCTTCCCAAGCCTCATCCTCTGGGCTGCCTTTCCCAGACCTCGCTGGAAGGGAAGCAGGGGCTCCTCTCCCCAAACACACCCACTGCCAGTTGCTGTGCCCTGCCAAAACCAGCGGGTGACAGCAGAGGTTGATCCTTTGCCTTGGCTGTTTTCCATAATCCAGCACTTCAGGGACTCCAGAGTCAGACAGTCAGGATCATTCCCAGGTTCCAGGCACTGGCACAAAGCAGCTGCTGTGCTGGAAGGGGCAATTTCAGAGGTTCCTCTCCCCTTAGCTGGGAATTCAGTGCTGCAAAGGGCCCTGCAGTGATCATGGATTTAACCCTTCCTTGTGGATTAATCCCCAACACTCACTACCAAGTGCTGCTGGAGCATCTCTCCAGGAAAAAAATTGCCTAATCCAGAGGGGTCCTTGCCCAGTTTCTCAGGATGGATGGGGAGCTGCTGCTGACAGGCTGGATCTCACGAGAACTTCGGTAATTTGCTGAAAGTTTCCAAAACAGGGACCTGTTTCCAAGTCTAAGGAAGCTCAAATCCAATGGCTCGCCAGGCTTCCTAATAAAGTACTGCAAAAATGTGTCTGTGTGTAGGAATCTTCTTTTAACCCAATTTCAGGAAAGATTTGCCTGAGATTTCAGTTAAAATTTAAACCAGCCTGTGACGTATCAGGCAGAAAAAACTATTTAATAGCACTTTTTTTCCCAGCTGCACCATCCAAACCCAATGCTTCAGCTCGTGTGTGAAATGGATGGGAAGTGCAAAAACAAGTTCATTCCCACCTTCAGAAAATTCCCAAGGACATGATGATCCTCCAAATGAAGTCCTGGCTTGGAACAACACTATCCTGCAATTTTCCACGGGAATCAGAACTCATCCCCTCAGTGTCTCGAGGTCAGGTCAGAGACAATAGACATGCTACTTTTAAATTAAATCAAATGTTTTAGCAGACTAATATTACATCCTTTATGTATTGTTATATTTGCTCCTTTTATTTCCATGATGGGCTGTGTCTAAGGGAAAAAACTTGTAAAAGTGAGATAATTTAAAGAAAATGCCTCTTGCTTCCTTTGAAGTTACTAAAAAGGGTATTATGTAAGTATTATTATTACTATTATTTACATATTAATTTTTGAGTTATAAATATTAATGCCTCTTTAGTCTATCCAGTTCATCTGATTAGTAATAGAACTGATCCTTCTCTTACCTACTGTTCTTAAAGAACACTTCTGATCTTTGTGGATACCAAACAAAATAATTATGTTAGCCTGAGAAACCTCTGGAATGTTGATTCTACCTTGGAAGAAAAAATCTCTGTCTCTGTAGAAATGACAGCACAGCTTCTGAGACAACGGGAAGTCCACGAGTCACAAAATATTTCAGCTTTTCCTTAAAATAACTAAAGTGCAGTGATGAAGTACTAGAGTACCTTTCAGTTCAGTTTCAGTGCTCAGTGACATGCCATGACAGTTTTTTCTTTCACTTCTCTGGGTTGCTGGGTGAGGAAAAAGCCTTTGGTAGACATTCTGAATGATCAAAAAACCTGCTCTTGCCCTAGGAATCCCTTCCACCTGGGAAGAGGCATGGCAGAAGGACAGAGTTTGTCTTAAATACCTCCTAAGGCTGCAGAGACAAGAAAATCTGCTGAGAATGGCATGGAAAAATGCCACAGGTGAGAAGCTGACAAGAGGTACAGACAGCAAAAATGAAAGAACAACTAGGCTTCACAGGTAGGAATGTGTAAGTTACATGAAAAATAGATGAATTCCAAAGGTAATTGAAGAAGAGTGCTGGGGATTTTCTGGGGAGTAGAGACCAGCAGCATTTGTGTAACTGCACCAGTAGCACAATAAAAGACTGGGATTATCTAGGCAATGGCATCAGGAATGCCAGATCTGGGTATAGATGCAGCAGAACTAGGACCAAGATAAAAAGCAAGAGAAGGAATAGCCAAAAGGGAAGCATGCCAGTAGGAGAAAAAGGGACAGGGAATGGGAAAGGGGATAATAAGGTATGAAAATCATGCTGCCTTGGAGTGCTTGCTGGGGAGAATTCTGTTCCAACATCTCAGCCTAAATCAGGACCATCAAACCAAACCTGTTGTTCTGGCCATGCCACACAGCCCAAAGCAGCTCCCATGGTTTGGAGACACGGGAGGAAAGGAATACTTTGCAAGTAAGCAAGGGAGAACCCCATCAGACAGGTCAAACACCTGAATATTGTGACAAGTGGTGCTACCCATGGCCTCATAAGAGCCTGCTGAGTGTTTTGTGACTCCTCACACCCCCAGTGAGTTAAAGACTATTGTGGCCATTGCTCCAGTATCACTGAATCCAACACAATACAGAAAGCAGGTCAAATATGCTGTTTCTATCCAGTGCCCAAGTTACCAGATGAGCAGAGGGCTCTATTAACCAAAATGAGACAAGAGAAAAACACTGAGGACAGCAACACACACTCATGCAGCAGATTTAGAACTCAAAATGTCCTTCAGAACAACAGATGTTGGGGTTTGGTGTTTTCAAACCAGCACATCTCAGCTTAGATTTGCAAGCATATACCCAAATAAAAAAACAAACCAAACCACAGAAGCCTTTGTGCCCTATAGTAAATGTTTTATTATACATTTGATCTAGAGTTTAGAATATCCTCACTGCCAGTAGAGGAGAGTTAAACCTTCACTGGCTGCCAAGAGCATACCATTTATAGAAAGACCTTGATAATTAACACTTGGAACCAGGATGAGGACTACTCCACGTCCTTACAGCATGATTTACAAAGCAGCCTAAAACTGCATTATAGATAATCTTTAATCTGGATTAGTTCTCAGTAATATTTTGCCTCAATGGACAATGCAGAAGACTAATTCAATATGTTATGTTCATTACAGCACTGAGTTTAACTATTGGCTCAATTTAGAGTTCCACCACCCACTTAAACCTGACATATGGTTCCTGGCTGTATATAAATGCCATTTTTAGCCATTTCTGACTTGTGTTTTAGTAAGAACATCATTTGCCTCTCACTCTCAGAAGCAGAAAGAACTGCCAGCAGCTGGCTGTGCATATTCATAGTTATTTCACATTTCCCTCTTTATTTCTGAACATCCTGTTTTATGGAGCTTGTGTAAATACATGGGTGAGCATCTGCACCACAGGCTGGTGGAACTGTTAGTAACTAATAGGAGAAAACATCTTTCCATCTGAAAGATGCTGTATTTTCTGTTTCAGTTCAAAAAATTACAAGATTCATTCCTTTGAATTGTACTGGATTTGCCAAAGTTCCCACGCTTTGCTCAGAAAGGATCTCTTTCCATCACACAGATGTTTTTGGCCTAAAGCCTCTTTTCAAACCACATGCAATTCAGCAACACAAGCAATAGAGACCTGTAATGCAAACAAATAGGGTTAACTGAAGAAAAGGGGCCTTATATTTTTTTAACTAGAGGAGAATACAAACCACTGAGTATGCCCAGAGCTTGCTCATCCCACTGTTTTAGGCTACCTAAGCAATGACATGCAAACAGGCTCTGACATAGGAAATGTGAGAAAAACTGGAATAACATAGTTAAAACAAATCCCTAAATTAATAGAGAAATATAAAGAACAACTCATAAAAAGTGTTTATCTCTAAATTAATCTAAGAATCTATGTTCATAGACTAATATTTTTCTTTATTCTTTAAATAAATAAATTTATAAAATTGCGGATCAATTTAACAAAGGCAAGGTAATATTATTATTCCATGTTTGATGGGACAAGACTGTTTTCTGACACTGATTAGTCAAATTGGAAAGGTCATTGTATTGGAAGTTTTCCAAAAGCCTTTGCCATTAGAAAAGAAGGCAAATTTGTCACATGTCCTTTCACTGCACTTTTCCAAGCTGAAGAAAAACCACACTAACAGTCTAACGAGATACCCTGCAGGCTTAGTCCTTTCAGATACCACAGAATCAGCTACACCTTCTTAAACACAATTTCTGAAACAGCACTGAACTAGAAAGGCACCAAGGTACACCATCCTCAGTGTGGCTGAGGAGCAGGAGTCCTCCTGAATACACTGCAAACCAGACATTTATGAGCCAGCATCAGGCACTGGAAACAATATTCTAACAAAGCAAAAATCCATCAGGATTCCTCCCAGTGTGTACTGCAGGGCTTTGAAAGATAAAGGGGTTTGAAATAATGCATATAGAATTCTTAAATGAGTTGTGTTGCAGCCCCACTCAGCTTTTTTTGTAAAGGCTTTGTGCAATTACTACTACTGAAAAAAAAAAACCCAACCAACCAAAAAAACAAAGACAAAACTATTTTCTCCAAACCCCCAGATATTTTCCTTAGGTCCAGGAAATGAAAAAAACCCCAGAGGTTTTGAGATCCCTTGTGCATGTTGGAAAAACTGCAGGTATTTGAAAGTCCTCAATTTAGTCATCAAGAATAGCCCTTAGGCAAACTTCACAGAGCTTGAGCGCTATTTTTAAAAAGCAGAATACTCCTGAAACAGAAAACTGCTCTCTACTAGTTGCCAAGAGTGTTATTAAGGAAAAAAGGAGTTAAACCCTAGAAATGTAATGAGAAGGATTATTGCAACATGAAGCCACCCTCATGAAACAGATTATATCTGGAAAAGAATTCAAGTCCCATTAGAAGCCAATGGAAGCAAGTTTCAAAGTGATGGCAAAGTAATTTTCAAATTACTTAGCTAATTTAAATGTATTAAACCATAAAATTAACAAAACACATTTTTAAGTTACAGTGCTTTCTTTAAAGAAACTTTGAAATCTCACTGGATTCAAACATGGTCTAAAGGTTAATTAGTTTTAATTGTCACATTAAAAAACAAACCTTTATCTTAAGTTTTTTAATGTGTTAGGGCCCATCCTTCCATTCCATTTCTTCATTATCACACCAAGACCATGTGATTGAATGAAAAATGAGCTACAGCACATTACCAATTAAATCCTCAACCTCCCATAAAACCAGCATGGAGAGAACAGGACTGAGAACAACTCTGATAGCAGAACAAGAAGAGACAACTAAATTCACATATATGAAAGTAGCAGAAAATAGCTGATTTTGGAGTTTATTCTGTCAAGGATAACTAGCATCTTACCAATTGCTTATTTTTTAAAAAAGTATTTCAGGTGACACTGTGTGAAAACTCAAATTCAAAGATTTATGCTCACATGCACAACCATTAAAGCAGCATGAGGGTCACCCATGGAAATCAATATAAAAATAAGAGTTTAGCAGAACCTTTTTTACTACTTATGCGTGCTGTAAGCCAGCAGGAGACAGGGAACTTTTAATAACTCTTTTCAATTGCTCAATACAGGTTCTCCTATAAAGGTAAATTAAGTGATCCCAGCAGTGTCATTCCTGTCAGTGGCACCATAAATAACAACACCAAAGTTAATGAACCTCACCAGTTTAAGGAAGGTTTCCACACTCACCTGACTGTGCCCTCACTCTTTCAATCTGATGAAACTCCACTCACATGGGAGTTAATTATCTCCATGCAGAGTTCTACATGTACCCGTAGCCCTTTCTGAGACTATTTGGGATAAAGGAGGGCGTTCACGTCACAAGGAGTTTCTTGAGCACCTGCAGTTTCCAAGTCACTCTTGTAGTTTCTAACTACAGCTTTTCTAACCAGACCTTTGGCAACATCTGAAAAATGTAGGAATATGATCCAAGCTATCTGTTCTGTCTACCTCTGTTAGCATTAATTGATTTAGGACCTTCTGTACAGGAATCAAAATTACCTGAATCAGGCCATAGTTTACAGTTCAGCCTTGTTCTGATTCAACATGAGTTTCAAAGCCCAGAACTCCAGTAGAAAATGGGCTTAGAACACCTCATGACTCTCATTTGAGTTAATAGCCTAGTCATGATTCACTTTCTTTCCTCTTTGCTGGACTTGATCTGCAGCCTGAGCAGCATCATGGTTGCTTAATTAATATAGTAGCAAGAAAAACACAAATACTGTTAAATCTTAACTAGCAAGATGAGCTTGTAATGCTATTGTCAGAAGGCAAGCTTGGTTTATGTCCCTTGGTTCAGTGAACTAGGAAAACAGTCTGACTCAATTGTACTTCTTACATCATTAGCAATAATGCAGCCACACATCACTGTGCACAAGAATATCCACAAAACCTTCCTGACAGCGAGTTTCTCTTGGAGCTCATTGCAAACCTGTTAGAGTATTTAACATTCCTGTTCATGCAAAGCCCTATGCACTTCAACAGCTTCAAGGTCCAACTTTTTAAAAATTTGATTATTATTGTTCACAATTCCAATTTTTCAGGTTCCTTAGGTCAAGTGGGAACTTTTCCTGGTGAACAGAGGCTTTTACAGCAGGGGGAGGTTGATGCACATCCTCCTCCCTTTGTAAGAGGGGGAACTCTTACAAATCCTATTAAGTTATGTCCGTTTCAAAAATATCCTGATGCAGCAAGCCAGGTCCATAATCCAGATAAAATGATCATTGGAGAAGAAGTCCCCACTAAACCAGTAAAATAATCCATGCAGTGACACTGGATTTACCCCTCAGCATGACAAACACTCCTCTCTGTAACCAGATTTACAGATTAGCACCACAGAAACTTTAAAGTGTTCCTGCTGCCCATCAGTACATAATGCACCCAGTATTATTTTACACACAATCAGTTTGGTTCATGTGAAAAGGTCTGCTACAACATCTAATTGATAAACCTCATGCACTACATGAACTTTCTTTTGGAAAGCTGGTGTTAGAAATGCTTGGAAAATTTCCAGCAAGAAAAAAATTTCAGCAGAAAATATTCTGGGGGCAAGGGGTGAAACACAGGAAAAAACCCTCAGGTTTTTTTCATACTTTTAATACAGCTACTGTCAAAAAGGCCTTCCTTGTGTATGAGGAGAAATTTTGTTCCTGTATACATGTGAGGGTATGGATTGTGACTTCTCTGTTTAAAAGTGGCTCCCTAACCCTCTGCATCAACCTTTGACCCACACTCACTCCTTCACTGTGTTGGTGCAATTGTGTGAGAAGTGACTTTACAAAGCAGACAACTGAAATACTTGAGCTGAAGATATAAAAAGAACAGCTCAGTGTACAAAAGAGGAGCTCATCTCATCAGATAAATCATCTTCCCAGATGAAAGAGAAATGCCAAACAGGATTTACATCCAAATGTTCTCTCCCATTGTGCTTCATATATCAAACAGTGATTGATTTTTTTTTTTCTCCCTCCAGGAAATCTCCAGTTTTATAGTTTTTTTGTTAAAAACTGGAGCTAAACTCAGCAAAGGCTTAGGGGGGATGGTGCCCATGGGAAAATTGCTGTCTGAGAAGCAGGATAACAATAGGGAAATAAATATATTTTCTAAAAGGTCACAAGACAGGAATGTAAATTTTCACCTGTGGCTAACTAGCAAAAAGATAAAGAATCATAGGTCATATCTAAATTGTTTTGATAACTTCTTTAGATCCTTCTACTGTGAAGACAGGGGGGATGGTATAGACTTTTGACTTATTTGCCTAGGAGCAGTGGCCATTTCTTTTTATGCACTGAGTCATGTAGAAGAAATTAGAGCCACACAAATCAAGCCTATCATCCCCTGGAATTCTTTGGGAATAATGTTGGAAGAGCATCAACAAGAGATCTGCAAAAAGAAAGAATCAATCTCTTTTTGAGCTGAAAAAAAAAGTGAGTACAAATGTCACAAGTTGACTCCTTTGACAAAAAGGAACATCAATCTTCTGAACTGATGTCAGTTGGTGTTTCTGCATTTCTAAAAGAACAAACACTAAAACCTCTGAAGTTACATCCTAATTCCACAACACTGCTTTGATGATCAGAGTTTAATGTCAAAAGCTACACAGAAAAGCTGAGAAACTTCCTGCAGAACATGTGATGCAAAGCAACAACATAAATGACACATTAAAGCAACAATAAAAGTGTTTACTGTTCCTTATGGAGAAAACAATGGAAATGCAACATGGACAGGAAACCAAGAAAACTGATTTTATCTTTGATTCAGTAGCAATGCTTCATCATTTGCTTATTAATTCCACAATTAGTGGAGGCCTAAAGAAGGAAAAGAACTGTATCTTCATAAAGAAAATAATGATGGCAGAGTAGACTCATTTTTTGCTCTTACATCCATTTCAAACCCTGTTTCTTCTTACCTTCTTTCCACAGTCAGCTTCCCCACAGCAGGAAATTATTAGTAGCCAGACAATTATTTTCCTGATGACAACTTAAGAAAATTTTCAGGACTCCCAATAAGACACTGAATGTATCTTAAGAGGTGAAATAATGAAGTAAAAATAAATCAGTTCTATATTTAGGGCATTTCTGAGATAGAAATCATAACCCTGAATTGCATGCAAAGGCAATAAAAAGGAATAAAAATGCAAACTTTAAATACAAGAACAAATAAAAGATATCATCTCTGGTCAATAACAATCCCTAAATGCCAAGACAACCACAGGGGAGTCAGGGTAAGTTGGAACAGTGACAGGCTGGTTGTAAGGTCCTTAACACAGCCTGGACTCCAACCAACACTAAAACAATGGAGGAAAACACATAACTGTGCTGTAGATACCATTCTTAAAGCAAAATGTCCTATCCTTCCATCTCTTCAGGGACCTACAAGCAGAACTAGGAGTCTGATTCATTAATTTATCTTTATTTTTGCCACTTTGCCCTCCTTTAAGTGTCTACAGGCTTATGTTGTTTAGCAGTAATATATTCCTGGACTCTTACCTATATTTAGTATTATAGACAGTTCCAATAAAACAGAAATATATTGATTTGCATTGCCATATTTCCTGTTTCAGCTAAAAAAAAAATTACAAGGTTCATTCCTGTGAATTGTACTAGATTTGCCAAGCATGGAGAAGGAATTTCTCCATTTCTTCACACAACTGTCACCAGTGATTTCATTTAACCCATCCATCTTAATCCAAAGAAAGGAGTTTTAAGTTGAAATCTATACCCAGTTTAATAGTTTAACCTGTGAAGTCATTAAAAATGCCAGTCAAGAGTAGTGCTAGCCAGGACAGGATTACATGTGCCATAAATAAATTCAGTGCCTGCATACCCTCAATGTGGTGCCAAACACACCCATCCCTTGGGTCCTGCTGTTCCACATTTCCTCGAGCTTCCATGAGCAGCACCATGAACATCTCTCCTCACCTACAATTCAGGAAATTACCTGATGCTTCAGGTACCACTGCAGCTGCCTCCTTCCTCTGCCTGCTATAAAGAGCACAGGGGTGGGGAGCAACACTGACCTGCATTTTCTCACAGGAATATTTTCTTCTGGGGTCAACTGAACCATTTCTCCTAGACTGGTCTGTTTCACTCTTAAAATCAATCCCACCATGAACTGGGACAGTATTTGGGATCGACACTTTCCAGTCTGACTCTTAGCAACAAACTCCTCTCCTAGCAGAGATTCATGGTGCTCCTGATCCATGTTTGGATCCCTACCTGTGGGAGGAAAATTCACATGTTGCCTAAAAACATCCAAATGCCACTTCTTATGAATTTTCTTATGAATTGTTGCATGATTCAAAGGGAGGATGGGGGGAATATTGTTTTCATTGCTGTTCAGGGAGATTCTTGCCAATAATTTTCAGGATAGGAGGTAAGACATAGTCGTACATATATGTTGTTTACCTTCCTTGAAGTATGTATTTGTGAACATTTTTAAACCTATATTTAAGCCCCTTTTCTCCTCCAGGCCTTTATCTGGTTATTTAGATGAAGCAGCTACTCTGCAGAAGCTGTCAGATAAATATGATTTTTTTTCAATATATAGACACCACTTATCTAGTTGCTAATGTTACATCTGAATTTACACTCGAAACCACTGCAAGACATATTCCCAAATGTTAGAAAATAGAGTGCAACTTTTTCCAGTTTAAAACAACAACAAATCAATTAGCATCTAAAGAAAATACTAAATACCCTGTTCCTGCAGCACAACAAAACTTAACAAACCAGTAGAATTCAATGGAACTGCATGATCACATTGGAAAGCATCTCTGTATCTCCAGCTGAACTCCAAGCCTGCATGACTCTGTCAGATCCTCAGGCAAGGTTCAGACAATATTCACACTTTAAGGGATGCTATTCCAGCACAGAAACAAATACCAATCATAATCTGTGGGATTATCCTCAAATCACACCATTTTTCCTTATCATAAATTGCACACAATTTTGCCTTCAATGTAATATATATAAAGAAATAATTTTTTTCGAAAGCCTTAATGTGCACATAAATAAACATAGCAAGTATTGTGAATACAACAGAAACAGACCCCTGAGAGCCTTTCTTTATAAAAACTGGTACCAGAACTGTTCTGAATAGCTATAATGTGTTTTTCAGTTCATGTCCCTCTCTTTTGCCAGAGGGGAGGTGAGAAAAGCAGGGGAGATCAGCTTTACCAAGTTCTGGCTTTCAATAGGAAAATTATGATGACTGATATTATGAGCTAATCACACAACTGAGCCAATTAATTTGCATTTCAGTGACTAATGCAAACATGTGTTCAGGATAAGAGTGACTAACCACAGTATTAAAAGTTAGTCAATTATTTATAGACACTGAGAAAAGGGGTTTAGGTCTACTATGGGCATATTAAATATCTGATGAAAGAAACCTGAGGGGATAGTTTTCCCAGTTGTACATAAAAGCCTAAATATTCAAAGTGTCTCTTCTCACCTGTAAATGTCTACTTGATCAGACTGTCAGCTTCTCATTTTTAGTGAATGACCCAAATGCATTGCCTGAGCATAACTGAAGGCTTAAACTGTGCAGTATATAATTATTCCAATACAAACATTTTATTTTGTACTTAAAAATTTAGCAGAAGTTGGAGAGTTAAATGAAAGTAAATGCTATGCTTTTTAAAATGTAACTTTCTTTGAAAATTAATAGATACAAGAAAGGAATTGGAATTATGTTTTTTTTAAGTACCTTGTACTTTTACCTCTAAACTGGAAAACTCCTTTTTATCAGAAGACCAGGCTTGAAAGCACTGCTGCAACAATTACCAATAGTCTCCCAAAAATGAATCAGACTGTAGGGTAAGAGGTGTATTTTGGTTCCTAAATACTCAGATATTACCATCAAATACGTTAATAATAATTGCTACAAATATTTTCAATGGAAATGTCGAAGAAAACGGAATATAAATATTAAAAGTATATTTTTTCTAATAGGAACAAAGCCTGTATAGGAGAAACACAAAACCAAAGAGTGGTGTGTGGTGACCATGCATGAACAGTCATCTCTCCCTTTAGCAGAGACTGAAATCAGCCTTGTCAGTGCCTAAAAGACCAAGGAAGGGCTGCCAGGGGCCCTGTGTAAGCTGCAGTGCTTTAGGCCTGCTGATGTGTGCTCAGAAACTCACAGATGAGGCTGGAATACAAACACACTGATTTGGCCCTTTGGGACATGGAGTAAATGTCACTGAGAATTGAAAAACTGAGTTAAAAGAGATCAGGACACTTCTCTTTAGGCTTGCATCAGCTGCTTGCACCAGCTCTGTGGGAGCAAAAGCCATCATGGGACAGAACTCCCAAATTCATCCATGGGGCTTTACTGCCAGCCCACGTACGTTTTTCCTGTGATATGTGGTCACAGGGGAGAGAGGGAGGCTCCTACATCCACACAAATTTTATCCCCTCTGCTCCAACTTTGAATTAAAGTCACGAAACATTTAAGTATCAGACATGAACTTCCCAACTTGCCTTGGAGGAACATTAATTTCCAAGCTCGTTTGTGACCAATATATTCTGACATTGTTGGTGTCAAACCAAATTTCGGAGTTGTGTCATTGAAATGTAATTACAGAGAGGCAGTTTGGTGCTGTTCTGTTCAACCCTGAAGAGAAGTGCAAAATAAAACACCACAGAACCAGGAGCATCCTGTGACAACTTAATGGAACACAGGCAGCCAAAACCTATCTGTGATATATTTTAAATTGCTGCTTCTAGTAGAGCATTACAGAACATCAATTAATAAGCAGTTTAGCTCATTGGCATAACCCAAATTGACTTTTGAGAATGTATTTACTAGGGTCAAGTCTCTCTTGTATACTGAATTTACCTAAGGAAGTGATGGAAAGGAATGCAATTTTGTCCAACCCATGCCAGCCACGTCTGTATTTGGCTGTAGAAAAGCTACAACTGTGAACAAAAAAACCCAAACAAATAAAAAAAAAATTAAAAAACCCACAAACCCACCCAAAAAACTCAGTTGTAAGCAAAGAAACTAAATAAGGAAAGGTTAGATATCAAACACACACAAAAAAAGGGAAATTTATTGCATATTGAGTATCAGGTCTCCCAAGCACAGGGGAATTACTTGAAATAAACCCATGAATACACTCTCTTAATACCTGAGAATGTTATTCAGGTGCAACTCTACACTGTGAAGTTTCACAAATTCATCACCCCTTCAGAAATATGCTAGAATCACACAAATAAAAACTAATTCAACGTGTCATCATTACTATCTTTAGCACTTTTTCTCCTTAAAAAATACACTTAGAACCATGAGGTTAAATAAACATCCTTAAAACAAACAAACAAACTAACAGGTATCAGGTTCATGCAGACAATGCCTTAGTGTTAAGCTCCCCCAGACCTATGCTAAGAATGACATCCAGTAGAAATACAGTCTATATCCTCTTAATGTCAGATTAAACCTATCATATCACATCTGTGTTATGAATATTCAGAAAGATATATCTGTCTTGTATTATACACATCACTGGGAAGGCAAACATGTGCAAGAATGAAAAGTAGTGGATTTCCACAGAGATGAAAGTTGTGTTACACCTTGGTTCATTTGGTGGTTCACCAAAACAAATTCTCTGCCTTAGAATTCACTGTTAAACCAGAGAGATTTTGCACAAAAAAACCAAAAACAAACCATGTTTCTGATGCTACATTTGCACAGGTATTTTTTGTCATTGATAATTAACCTATCTTCAGTAATACTCTATGCAATTTCATAATGGCAATTAATATTATGAGGTGAGAGAGATACTGATGGAAGCTGCTACGTTTTGATCAAACAGAGCTGAACTGGGAACAAGCTGAGTAAAGGCTGACAAACTGGTTTTCTTAATTTTTTTTTAAGAAGATGGAAAAAAATGCCTTTTATGTGAACAAGCCTGTTCCCCCAACTCTCCTCTTTGGATATACACCCTTCTGGATTGGAGGGAAAAAACCCAGGAAGTTGCATTTTACAGAGTTGTAGGAACTTTCTTCTGTGGGAGATGTGCTCCATGTGACCAGCAACCTTTTCCCTACTTTCTTTCACACACAGGAAGGGAGATCAGCCATCCATGATGCTCTTCTCCCTCACCTTCTCAGGTGTTCCCAACAGTTCCAGCACACTGGCCCTCACTCCGTTATTCTCTGAGCAGACTGGGAAGAAAGTTTCCCAGTACTCTGGCTCCATTTTCACTCTCTGGTTCCCACATTGCTTGATGTTAGATTCAATACATCTTGAGAGAAAGGACTGGGGCAAAATAGGGATTTTGCTTCCCATCACATGCCTGCAGCTAATGGTTCTTACCATACCAGGTCTCACTTCTGCAAACTCACGTTTAAATCAAGGTCTCACAGAGATCTGGTTGGCACTGGAGAGTCTCCCTGGCCCTGTCAATAAAGGCACTCACATTAAAGTTGTTAACAGGCACTGAAAGAAGACAAAATAGGCAAATTACCACATGGTGATTGTATGAATTTCTGTGCACCTGGAAGAATGTTCACTTCTGATCCCAGCTACAAAGTAAATCCAGACTACCTGTAACTAGACATGGCTTTGTACCTAGGCAACTTGAAATCCCCAATCAGGAGCTCTTATTCAGCTGCTCACTAGCTCTGTCCTGCATACAGTATTGCCTCTGCAAGAAAAAATGGTAGCATTCACCTCCAAGGTTTCATAGCAATAGCAGGGGATGGCAGAAATATTCTTCCATTGGGGTAGAATCTTTACAATATTCCATCTTTACAATATTCCAAAGCACACCTTCGATATTCCCAATATATTCCATGGATTCCATATCAAATAAGCATTAATAAAGAAAAGATAACACATTTCTAGCATTCTGCAGTAGATTGCATATAGAAAAAGATACTGAAGTAATTAGTGTTGGGTATTTTTCTAAATTAAACAATTAAAAAAAGAACACCTTAGTTTAAGGAATGCAGTTTTCCAGTGCTTACCTTTCTGTTCACAGGGTTTAGTTAGGGCTTAGTGTACTGACAATCTCTTTATTCAATTAAATTCTCTTTTTATAACAATAGTTATACATAGTACCAGGTACTGTAGCATAAGTTTATGTGTGATACTCATTATTCAGAGTAGATCAGCCTACACAATACTCTTTCCATCAGTAAATGGAAAATAATTTTCACCCAAACTGTCCTTAAGAGTAGTAGGAATAAAGCAAGCCTAACCAGATGAT